TTTTTTTTTTTTTTTTTTTTGTGTGTGTGTGTGTGTAGGATAATGTTATTATATTTTTTTTTTAATGTATAAATGTGTATGAGGCTGATAGAGCATGTTTGGATACAAATTTTTTCACTAAAAGTGAATTGTTTTTAGTTAACCAGAATTAATTTTAAAAAGAAATAGTATAGTTAGTTGTTAGTGAGATTTTAAATTTATATTAAAATAATATTTAAAATAAAAATAATTAAAGTTGTTTTGATTAAAAAATAATGGTATATCTAATCGTTAGTGGGATTTTGAATTTATATTAAATTAATATTTACAATAAAATAATTAAAATTGATTTGATGGAAAACTATTAGAGAGATTATATAAAGTAATGATTAGTTAAAATTATGAAAGCGGATGCATAATGAATTAAGGTAGATGTGATGTGTAAGAATGATTAAGTGATATTATTTAATTATATTGATAATATTGAGGATAGTGGAGTTGAGTTAACTAACTCAACCTCATTGTACCGAAAAAAAAACTAACTCAACCTCACTAATCACTATCATCAATATTATCAATATAATCAAATAATAACAACCAATCATTTTTACGCATCATATCAACTTTAATTCATTATCATCCAGTCACATAATTTTAACTAACAATCACTTTATATCATCTCTATCTACTTTTATATCAAATCAACTTTATTTATTTTATCTTAAATATTATTTTAATATACTCTTAAAATCTCACTAACAACTAATTATCCTACTTTTTCTAAATTAACCATAGTTAACTAAAAAAACACACTTTTGAATTAATTTGATTGAATTTATCTTTTTACAAACACACCCTAAACCTCTCGTTCAAAGTTTTATATAATTAATGATCTTCTCTGAAGAATTGTCAATTATTTTAGGTAGCTAGGCACTTGTATGATGTTTTTAAGAATTCAATTATAACCTAACTGAAACACAACCCTCTTAGAGGTAAAGAGTTGTTACTCCAACCGAGCTGTTAAACGAGTCGCGCCGAATTTGTTGCCGAAAGCTTGTTTATTTCTTTTTACTATTTTCTCATAAATTTCAAACATACAGCCGAGCGGAGCATGTTCACGAACACACAAATCGTGTTCACGAACAACATGTTTATAACTTTAGAGTTTTCATAAGCTTGAACCGACTCGTTTATCAAACCAGCACAAATTCAAACATGAAGTGCTCGGGTCGAATAAGACATATGCTCCTAGGGCACATAAACACAACTAGTGGTCCCCAACACACACAACTTCACAAGCTTCCATTATTGTCCTCAAAATCACTTCCTCTTGACAAATCCATTTCACACAGCAGCTGCAGGTTCAGAAGAAAAAAATAAAAATAAAAATAAAAATTGGAATAGTTTGTATAATAACACACTATAAAGTAAAAAACAAACTGATGACTCTGCATTTTTTTTTTTCATCTATCCCAGAAAGCGGGACCCTTTACAAGCTGTCATTACCCCCACAACCCCCTCTCCAACCAATCACAAGCCGACACTTGTCCACCAACCCACAAATCCTGCATCAAACCTCAAACAATATCTAGACAGATAAATGGCCTTCTCATGCAGCTATCTAGCATTTCTCATATTTGATCAAATGTTTCTACTCCCAGAAAAACAAATTATAATCTATTTTTTTCATAAACTGATCAATTCTGCAAACAAAAGTTTCCGAAAAAAGTCGAACCATTATCATCATCATCATGGGCTCGGCTCGGGTGCAGAAGCAGGCGGTCACGTGGAGGAAGTGTTCGCGTTACATTCAGGAGCAACAAACACGGCTCTACATCGTGTGGAGATGCTCGGTTATTCTCATCAGGTTGAAGTTGGAAGGCGTGAGGTTTGACGATCGAGAATGAAAATTTATCATTATTTTTTGGATTGTTTTTTAGGAAATGGAGTCTGGAAAAAGGTAAACATGTGAAAAAGCCTGTGTTTTTTTTGTGCATGTAAAGCTTGTGTGTGTTATTTGATCAAGTAAAATGGTGTTCATACAAATGGGTGTTTTAAGTTTCCGATGTGGGAGTTTGCATGTTATTTATTTTAGTTTGTGTTTGTTAGACTCTACGTTAGTTTTGAGTAGAACCAGTTATCTTTCACCTTGATAAACCACTACATTACAATCACTGTTTATAATCCCTGAAAAGAGTTTACAATCACCGGTTCGATTAGTTTTCAACCATTGGATCGACACACACCCACACGCGCGTTGTGTGTGTGTGTGTGTGTGCCAATCAGAGTACATTTTGCTTCCAAAATAACAAAAATTAAACTTCAAAGATGGCAAAACATACTATAAAACTGTATAATGTTTTCCAATTCTGGAGCTTTATTAAGAGAAGTGCAAGCATAATGTTGCAACCAGAGCAGATGAAGTTATCATATAATACAGTTGTTTTTAGAGAACATATATATATTTTAAAAAAGATAAAGTACTATGTCACGACTAAAACTCTTATTTCCTTCACTAAATCAACAAAATACCTCTGCGAAAATTTGAAACGCTTCAATATTGATTACTGTGTGGTCTTTCTGGCCGAAGTGGAGTCGTCTTCACCAGGTTTTCTCGCCGGCTGCCCTTGCTTCTGTGGCGAAAAAAATTACAGAAGCAACTATAAGGAATGTAATACACACACACAAAAAAAAAAGAAAAGAAAAAAAATTGTTCGTCTAAAGATTTCAACCTGTATTGGAGTTTACTAATATTTACAGCATAAGAAATTTCGGTATGGTCAGAATGTTAAAGGAAATATTTTTAGTTGGACTAATTCTAATGTATTGCATTCGTATATATAACTTACGGGTACTTTCTGGCTCGTTAATCTGCGAAGCGAAGGAGCCCGCGCGACTGATGAGGCGGCTGCAGCTGCCGCCACACGTATCCTACAAACCCATAAAAAGGCCAGTTAAAAAAAAAAAAAAAAACACGATTTGTTGCAACTATCACCGCATGAAATGAACTACAGCTTTCCAGGTTTTAACATTTAATTACCTTTTGTGTACGTCAACATATTCATCCGTCTCGTCAACAATTTCTTCCTACACTCATAAATTATGAAAGTAAAATGATTATAAAAAAAAAAAAAAAAAAAGAACACGACTAAAGTCTTCTTCAAACTGTATGAAGTAACACTAAAACGGTATTTTACAGTTAATACCTGCAAAAGTTCTTCAAACACATCTTCCAAAGTAATAATGCCAATAATTTCACCTTCTTCAGAGTCATCACTAGACACTAAATTATTTCTCGAGACCTTGTCGATATCCACAACTACAGTACTCGACACATTGTCATCTTTATTCAACAGCAAAGGAGTAGTTAAGTCTGAATTTCCATTGTTGACCTCATTCTCTTCGGATTTCTCCATAATAGTTTGCGAATGCCTTTTTCTTTCGCCCTTGGGCTTCACAACAGCTGCCATGTGGCTGCTGCCCTTTTGGAACTCGTTAAGTATGTCGTATAAGGGCATATCTGCTGGGACACTGGGAAAATAACAGTGTAAAACAATAGATCCTTTATTTTTTTTTTTTTTTTTGAACTTTTGGATCATATTATGAAACTAAACAATCTAAAATGGTACCGTGGGATTCTACGAATAGAAACAGCGCTGACTGGGGTCTCGGTTTCTGGTCTTACTGTGAGAAGACTCTTTACCTTGAGATTAAGGATTAAAAAAGGAACCTTGAGATTGAACATCGAAGTTTAAAATTACTGAAAAAGATTGTAAAGTGGACCTAAATGTTTGTCCTACATGTAACTCCTTCTTCAGAAAATAATAATAATAATCAGAATACCCTTACAACTTCACAAAAATATTACAGGTGGGTCCTTAATTTTAAATTGATTCGAACTTCAGTCTTCAGGCTTAACTTTGTCATTCTTAAATGATAGCTGGGCTTTTGTAACTAAACGTAAGTGATAAAGAAGAGTAAATGTTTTTCAGAAATTTACCAGTAAAAGTCCAATGATGTTCTTAGGATTCCCAGAATAAACGGGAACACGACTATGACCACGAGCCAGAATCTTACCCATTGCCTCCCTAAGACAAGGAAAAATAACTTACCGTGAGGAGAGAAAAATAGAATTAAATAAAAAACAGCTGACCATTTGATTTTTTTTTTTTAAGTAATTAAGAATTTCTCAATGCACAAATCTTACCAGTCTAGCTTTGAATTCACGTCGAGTGAAAATGTCGACTCGATCGGTGTCATGGCCTCCTCAGCAGTCTGATTACAGTTACAATTAAATGAGTCGAAATGCACACACAAAAAATAATAATAAAAAAAAGAAGATGTAACAATGCCAAGTTTGTAGCACTGAACAAAATTCTTAAAAGACCATGTAAACTTATTTCTTCTAGTTTGGTTTTAACTAGAAACAAAAATGAAGAACATACCTTCTCCGTCAAATCTAATGCTCCGCTAATGATCGTTGTCTCATCATGAGTGAGTTCACCGCCTTTACCCTCCTAAAAACATATAATTACAAACGACTTTACTAAACTATAATTTTGACTGCAGATTAAACTATCATTTCCGGAGGATGAATAAAAAGGATTGGAAATTTTTCATTAAAAAATTATGCAGAAGCAACTATATATCTGGAATTGTATTTACCTCCTGGCTGTGGATAGAAACCAGAGCTTTCAGCTGAGCTCGTCTAAAAAGCGCCTCATTATGCCCCAGAACACAATCCAGTATCTAATTCCATTTCATTGGAAACAAAAAATAAATAAATAAATATTCATCAAGCCATATACAAGTTCAGAAGGTCCCGAAGGGTCTGTACAACATGCACTCAGTGAAAGTTTTCAGTATAATGGCAAGATCATAGCCAACCATAATTCACCGTAAACTGGTTACAAAAAATCACCTTGCCAATTGGGTAAGCAATCGGATAGCAAATGATCATCAGAACACGAACAAGCCACACGAAATTAGAACCAACCGCAAGTCCGTATCTCGTGCATATTGCTTGAGGGATAACCTGACAGCATAAAGCCAAGCCATGAAAGACTGAACCACAGAAATAATAAAAAATAATGGTAAAATTCTGAAGGCAGATTTATATACCTCTCCAAACGCTAAAACAAACGTCACCGACAGTATAATTGCAACATATTGATTGAAAAGCTTATCTAGGTAAATCGGAAGTGCCTGCAAGATGCAATAATGATTGGTAAGAAAAAACTTCAGCATTGTTGTTCAGAAAAAAATTGCATATTACATACAAAAATACTCAGAAATGTTTAGAGAGAGAGAGAAAGGGCACCTCCATTGCAGCAGCATTACATAAAAGTAAAGTCACAAGAAGCTGATGCTGTTTCTGAACAACAGGAAGTATAGCAGCTGAAAACAAAATTGAAAACCAACATCAATTTTATGCCAACCCACAAGGATTAATGCTCGTATTACTTCTAATTCCACATCGTACGACGCAAATGTTCCAAGAGTATAATCGAAACTAAACTTCATCAGCCAACATTGGTCACAGTATTAGCCAATCATATATACTTGGTTGATGACATTGATATTCAAAATCACAAACCGCGAAATCATTTCCGAATTGTTTACAGAAAAACTATCATTATCATCCATTCATCACAGTAAAACGAATAAAAATCACATCTTTTCCACATCAAACCACCATAAGACAGAACTCAATCAACATGAGTACATACATCACATAATATCAGAAAAATTAAAACCCAGACAAACCCATCTCAGCATCAATCACCAGTAACCAAAAACAAGACAAAACATCAAGTATCCTAATTCCAAACAAACGCAATAACAAAGAATTGAACTTTTTTTTTTCTCTGTTACGATGGGGTTATGGGCCAACAAGCCTGTTTCTTTTCGTCCGGGGTGCCGCTGCGCTGGAGGATCTCAAGGTCGACTAGGCCCAATGACATGAGGCCCAATGTCAGGCCCGACATTATCCCGGCGAACAGAACCAGCACGCACGATATGCCGGCATACACGAACCACCACACCGTGCCGAACTCTATCTCGGCGCCCAATGCTCCGCCGCCGCCGCCGCTGTTTCTGATTGCCACCGATAAAACGGCCGCCGCATTTATCAAGTGCATAGTTTCTCTTTAAAAAAACAAAAAAAATGGGGAATCTCTTGTTTCCTACCAAAGCTTTGCTCTGTGTTGATCGTCTTTTGAGTGTGAAATGTGAGCTCTTATGCGTGTGTGTGTGTGTGTGTGAGAGAGAGAGAGAGAGAGAGAGAGAGAGAGAGAGAGAGAGGCTGCCAGGTGTATGGTTCATATCCGCCATTGACGGACGTGTAGTCTCTTTCTGATTTGGATTTAGTAAACAAATATGAAAAATATGTTCGGGAGAATTCTTAAATTGAATTCTGCAAAATATCCGAATTGACCACAAAAAATTATCCGGAATTTTGAAAATTGTTATTTTTTTTTTTTCACGGTTTTGGTAAATCCAACTGTTCGAAAACTATACGTAAACGAGCGCTCGAGTTGAGTGGGGTTTGACCGAATGCGAGCATCTTGAACTCAAGTATGAGTTGTGTTTGGACTTGCATTTGGAAAGCTTTAATGCATGAAGAGTTGTTGAATTATAATTGTGATTCACTTAATTGTTCCTTAAATTCAATTCATGAGCAAGATTCTCCATAAGTTCTAGTTGATCTTGAGTTGATGAAATTCCACGCCCCACGAGCATTTGTACAATTTTGTCGAGTAGAGCTGAGCGTTTAGAAACCAAGCTCGTCAAGAACTCCATCATGAATAATTGAACCCGAATCTATAAAAGGCATTGTTCGACTCGACTCTTCATAATTTGTTTGCAACCTTAACTTTGGAGCACCATTATACAACCATGAAATTATACATAAATTCTTTTACTCGTTACACTTTACAAACAAAAAATAAATAATTTTCTTATCAAATGTCATATTTTGTTGTATTTTTATTTATGATACTTTTTAAAATATGCCCTTTTTTTATGTAGAAAAAAAAATAAATAATAAAAAAACACGTCGTTATGGTTAGTTTGGGCCTCTGGCCTCCTTCTTTGTACCAAAAAAAAAAAAAAAAAAAAAAAAAAAAAAAAAAAAAGACTGACTTAAACGGGCTGGGCTTTGGTAAGCGGGCTAGCCCATCAACAAAGGAAATGGATGAAACAAAAGACACACACCGAGTTGCGAACAGCTCAACAACGGGGAAAAGAAAGAATCCTATTTACACTCGCCGCCGTCGCCCAAGCCCGCCGCTCTCGGAGACCACCACGGCCGTCCTCCTGCCGCCCCTTGTTCGCGCGGATCTCTCACAGGCTCAGCCCTCATCAGGCATTAATCTTTCTTCTGCTCTTAATTTAACTGTTTGGGGACAAAATCGAACGTTTGTGCGACTGAAATTGATGCTAGTTTGGGCATATGATTATGATATTCGATTGATTGAATGATACGATGTTCACAGTTCACCCATAGAACATGTGAACAGAACAGTGTCTGAGATTTACGTATTCGTTGTAGGTGCAAACGGAAATTTTATGAATTGATCAAAGTATGTGCTTGCAACCTGCGAATCAGCTCGAGTTCCTTTCTTAATTTTCCCGATTTCGTTGTGATTTTACTTGCAGCGCGGGAGTTGCTGCTTCCCCCAATCGACCCAAAACCCTAATCTTGAAATCCCCCTATGGCCGACATGAAATCGGTTGATGAAGGGGCTGAGTTCTCCGAGAAGCGTAGGTCCGAAAACCCGGAGGAGGAGGAACTCGATCCCAGCAAGAGGCAGAAAATTGAACCCCTCTCGGAAAAAAATGGCGTAGCTGGAAAAATCTCGTCTGAGCTGGATAAGCACTCGAGCCCTGAAGATGAAGATGGGGAAAACGAGGATGAGGTTGAGGATGAGGATGAGATTGTGGACCGGAAAGGAAAAGGGGTCGAGGTAGACCTGAAAGGAAAGGGAAAAATGGTCGATGAGGATGATGAGGATGATGAAGATGATGACGACGAGGATGGTTCGAGTGATGACTCATCTGACAGTGACCTCTCGGGTGATGAGGTGGACGGGAGTGACTGGGAAGATGATCCGCTTCTCGAGGTTGATTTGAATAATATCTTGCCGTCCAGAACCAGAAAGGGCAGTGGCAGGGTTAACAGTGGGGTCCGCTTCTTTGGCAACGATCACAGCACGGGTAAAGATGTTTGATCCAAATCCGATATTATTTCGAGGTTAGTTTAGTATTTCATTTCTTGAAAATGGTTAGGGTAGAATGTGTAGCTTTAGTGAAACCTGGTGCATGATTTATTTTGAAGTTTGGAGGGAGAGACCCGTTGTTGTGGCTTTTTTGCAATCCGGTTTGGATGTTCCCTTTATTAATCGAGTAGAAATCGCTGGTCGTGAGATGAGATGGTTTTTTTAATCAGATTTATTGAATTCGGTGGCTTCACAAGGTCTCCCTTTAAACCTTACAAGTTCTAATTGATCTGTTTCCTGAGTTTGTATTTAACTGGTTAGTGTTTATTTTGACTTTTGATTCCACTCATCCTTTCATGGGTTCATCACCTGTGAATGCATGGTTTACTCAGATTGTGTAATTTAGTTCCATCTTCCATGATCAGTTCGTCGTTTATTTGTAAACTCTTCGCGTGACAAAAAATACAATTAGGTTAGAACAAATTCATCAAAGAAATGCCGGGCCGTGCTAATGCTTAGAGTACTACCTTAATTTTTATTTTAATTTTTTTCAACTAGTGAATATCGACAAAACTGAGGTCTGCAGTGGCGTCAACCTTTGCTTCTTTAATTTCATTACCAACAGTTGCACTAAATTAAGCGCAAGTTTAGTGAGTGCTACAGCTTAGGCTCGGGAAACTTTGCGTTTATATATCGGGATGATGTTAATTTCCTTTTCAACAGTTGCACAAAATCAAGTATTTTAGTGAATGCTAACGGTTTTGTGATCTCGGTGCACCACTATTCACCATGTTACTCATTATCTTGCCTCATATTTTTTTCCTTTTATGGCAATTAGTTACATTGTGTTTGTTGTACAATGAACTGCGTTGTATATAGAAGGTTGGCTCCCTGTTGGTTTCATGGCAAAACAGCTGCATTTTATATCTGAAATGGTATGTAACTGGAGTAAGATGTTCAAATATATTGAAACGTTTACTTTTAATATTTAATTTATGATGGAACGAATATAATTTCTGTTTAAGCTAATTTTCATTTATAATACGACATTCTTTTATAATTATTTTTATTGATATAATTTTTATTGAAATAATAAAGAATGTTAGAGATACTCTTTTCTGGTGCAAACTTTTGGAACATAGCTGTTGGAGATAGTATAGAAATGTTGTGCCAATTTTAAGGTTATGCCAGCATTTATCCAGCAGTATTAGTTATTATTGGGAAAAAAATACCTATCTTCTCTTTGTTTTCATGTACAAATTCACTTCGGTTTTGCCATTTATATTTTACAGAGACTTGGCTTCAATAATATGATTATTGACTTATGCCATAACCAATCTTAGAGCAAAAGATATTAACTCCATATAAATATTCCACTACAAATAAATACCTCCATTCCAACCACTAGCATGTAGCTCAAGTGCTATTCATTATATCACACTAATACTTGAACAATCCTACATTGCCCAATTAGTCTAGTTTTTACATCATTCCACTTCCATTGTGATACCATTAGGTAGCCCCCAAACCAAGACCCGACCCGGAACCCATACTCTCACCATCCCTTCCAAGAAATACGCTTAGGATCCACAAGCTCGGCTCCACCACCGTTGCCTTCCACACTGCCTCGGCAGCTGTCCCATCCCCAACCTCCCACCGCTCGAACGCCTCAGTTGCATCTAACATGTGGACTCTCTCCCACCCTATCCGCTCCCCCATCGAGTGGATCTTCCCCAACTGCCGCCCCACGAGCCACCACGTGTTCTCCTTGATCTCCTCCACCGCACTATGTAGTAGCCTCGCCCGTTCCTCCCCTTCCACCGACCCCTCGTTCCAGAAATACTCATCCATCTCGGGCACGCCAATCGCGCGCCTCACCCCGCGCGCGTAGTCCCCACCGTAAAACTTCCGGGCTTCGTCCACCAGCCCGGAGCCCACCATCACGTCGACCCGCCTCTTCACGTGCGAGAGGTGCACGGGCTTCTTCGACACGTCCACCCAGAGGAAGCAACACTCGTATCTCGACCGGAACCTGCAGTCGCTGACGAGTGCCTCTATGAAGGAGTTGGAGCCCCCGGTGATGATCGGGAGGCGGGCCCGGCCCGAGATGGCGTCGGCTGACTTGGTTGCGCGACAGACGAATTCGGCTGCCGTGAAGTCCTCGTTTGGGTCGTCGATTATGTCGAGGAGGTGGTGGGCCACGCCGCGGGCCTCGGCTGGGGTGACCTTGTTGCTGATGACTTGGAGGGCAGTGTAGACTTGGATCTTGTCGCAGTTGATGACCTCGCCGTCGAAGATTAGGGCGAGGTCGATCGCCAGACGGGACTTGCCGGTTCCGGTGGCGCCCATAACCACGACCACCTTTCCGGCGGCCAGCGAGGAGGTCGACGGGGCTCGTTTGTGGGTGGGTGGAGCCATCTATAGAGGTTGCTTGGAAAGAGATGAGGAGCTTTGTGTATAGCTTGTGCATTGTATAGATATGGAATTTTAGTAGGGAGCAAATTTGCATAAATATGTAACCATATTATTGATAATGCATAGTCCTATTCCAAAACATGAACAATTACTATCTTAAATTTTGTTTCGGCATGTATGTTACGTGTGTTGTAATGGAAAAATATTTTGCGGTCACGGGTAAGATTGAATTCTCCCTTGCAAAAAGCCGTCGAACTATCCATATATTAGTGAAAATGGATGCTTATTGACAATCACTCTATATATTGTGATGTAGACGTTGAAACTTGAATAGAAACGAATATTTGAACTATAGATTTACCAGTGTGCTTGTCTTTGGAACTCCTTTGCCTTCACTTCTAAATCTATTTTTCTTTAGAACAATTTTGTGGGAGGGAGAACAAAAAAGAAAATCAAACCACTGGGTTTAGAGCAAATTAAAACTAAGAGAAAATAACCTATATTTATAGATGTTGGAATGGGGTACTAACTCAAATATTCATTTCCAAGTAATATTTCATAATAATATTACGTTGTTGGGGTCTTTATGTGTTGTCTGTTAGTAGTGTTTTTGTGTTTTTCCGTTTATTACCCTGTTGGGGTCGATTCTAGGCGGTCTTTTGACCTGTCATTCCACTTTTTCAGCCGCTGGTTGTTTCTATTCAGCTGTTAGTTGTTTTGTATTCAGTCGGTGGCTGCACATTTGTTCTAGTAATATAATAACTCTACCGTTTCGAAAAAAAAAAAAAATAATATTTCATAATAGCCTCACATCCCAAAAATAGTCTAACCTACCCACACATAATTTTTATCGGTTGAATTGTACACATTCACACACCCACATAGTGTATGCTGATCTAATAATAACAAACTCTTTCGGTAGCTAGGTACAAATTTTAGACATCGTGATCTATAGTATATGTCACAATTAATGTACATATGTAATTTACCATAACAGATAGAAGTTGATATTGTTGACACTTGATAGGGCTAATAAGATTATGAGCTAATATGGTAAAAAAAGGGTCATTCCCAAATTTTAGAAGGAAATTTGCCAAAGATGTCAGACTTATTTTTCCTTGTGTGCATGTTTGTGTCATTCATTTCTCTTGCTACCTTGAAGATGAGATCAGCGTTTTTTTTTTTTTTTCCGAAACGAAGTTATTATAAATCAAAAGCACACAAATGTGCAAATATAAGTAGTTTCTAGCTGAAAGAGAACACCCAACAGCTGAAAAGTGAAAGGAAAGATCAGAAGATCGTCTAGAATCCCGACTAGCAACGCTAGAATAAAGCTCGCAACTAAACTAACTTACTACAAAAACAACTAAAACAACTAAAAAAGACCCCAACAGGGTAATACATGAGTGTCGGATCCCAACAGGATAATTAGGTAACACTCGGGCTCACAGAGGCCAATGGCCCAGACCAACAACACAATCCTAAACAATACTAATAACATAAACACATGCCAACCAAAACTAAAAACAAAAGCATGAAGGACACAACCTCCCCTGCCGGAGAAAAGGCGCGGTCCCGACCGGCGGCGAGAAGGGCGAACAAGTGAGTAAGCAGCATCCCAGCCAAAATTGATTGCAGCTAACCCAGCCTTGTCCATGAACCAACACCGCACCCCAACCATCGTCGACTGAACCTGGACTTCAGAGACCAACAAGGAAGAAGAAACATCTCCGTTGGCCGACACGCGAAGCAGGAAGAAGCTTCAGCAAATGATACGAGGGTTGCACCGCCATGGACGAGCGATGGAGGCCGTCCACCTACGGACCCGGACGTCTGGCGAGGGAGTTTCTACCGGCGCAATTGTTAGGATTTGGTTGCGGCGTTTTTAAGGAGAAGAATAAGGGTGGAGTTTTCGATAAGTTGATGAGATCAGCGTTATCAAGCAAAACTGACCAAAAAAAATAGAAATTAAACTCCCATAACAATTAAATAATACAGTGTCATTTTCTCACATAAAATATTAATAAAATTATTTATAAGTTTATTATTTTTCTAACTCATTTTGATAGATAAAATAATTCAATTTAATAAACTATATTATTTTTTAATTAGGATTAATTAGATAATTTTATTTTATTTACAAAAGTAGGTATTCATATACGCAAAGGTAAAATTAAATATATTCACAAGATAATTAATTTGGATAAGAAAAAGCTAGGGTGCGATTGGTTGAAAAATAAATTTCTAGCCAGATAATTTTTTACAACATTTTAAATTAAAAAAATTTAACTCAAATTTAATCCAACTCAACTTTCTTCAATATTATTAATATAATTAAATAATATTAATTAATCATTATAACACATCATATCAACTTTAATTCACTGTTTATCAACTCTCATAATTTAATTACCCATCATTTTCGATAACTTTTCTCCTGCTTTTATATCACATCAATTTTAATCATTACATTTTAAACATTAGTTAAATACAAATTCAAGATACCACTCAATCATTTTTTTTTTTTTTTTTTTTTTCAAATTTAGCTCACTTTACACAATAAATCCATCAACACTTTTTTTTTAAAAAATAACCAAACACCACCTTATTAAGTTCTTAAAAAAGTTCTAATAAGTTTAAACTTGTATGAACTCGAATCACCGAAATTTGACACATAAACTATGAAACACCAATCTTTAAGATGATGCTTGGATGCAAATCTAATTCAAAAAATTCAAATATTTTTAACTATCTATTTTTTTAACTCAATTTCACTATCATCGATATTATCAATATAATTAAATAATATCAATCAATCATTCTTACACATCAGATCAACTTTAGTTGACTATTCATCCACTCACATAATTTTAAATAATCATCACTTCAAACTATCCATCTCCTACTTTTACATCAAATCAACTTTAATTATTTTATTTTAAATATTATTTTCTTAAGAAATTCCACCAAACCTTAAAAAGTGTTAACAAATCTCAGTCTCAAATCTATTAATATATAATTAGAACTAACTTAATTAATTTTTAGAAACTATTTCCCGCCAAAAACATTAATTACTGCCTATAAATAGTAATTTAACAAAAAAAGCATTAATTGCACATAATTTCTTTTTTATATTAATTTAAAGGTACAAATATTTGTATATATCTATACAAATATCCGTACAAACAAGCATTAATTGACTTACCAAACGTTCTTTTTGATATTAATTTAAAGGTACAAATATCCGTATATATCTATATACCCTCAATGTTATTTTAATAAATATATTTAAAAAACTCTATAAATCAGTTGGTTTTGAAATAACCGATAAAAATGGTAATGATATTTTTTGGATTTCGGTACAATAAGGAGAATTTTTTGGAAGCTACATAAATTCGTACAAATATTTGTTTTTCTTTAAAATATAGATATATTCGTTTTTCTTTAAAATATAGATGTATTTATTTAAAATATACATAATTTCATAAAATCGCTCTTATTTATTTCCGATTAACAGCAATTGTTTATGGAATAAATCATTATTTCACGTCAAGATTTTCGATTTTTTTTGTTACATTAACATAACATGGAGCATTGATTGCAATAGATATATACTATGGAGTAAATCTCCTATTTTTAAGCCTCCATATAAATCTAAAAATCATTTATATGATAAAATCGCAACAATATCTTTTTATTTAAATAATTTTCATCAAAGTAGCTCAGGGTGTAGTTCCTGCGAACTCTGATCCGGGGCAAGAACGTGTTACCTCACCATTAAGGGGCATTTCTTTTTGTACTATTGGAGAAATCCTCAACGGCAGGATCACTTTTTTCGGTACCAACATATATAAAAGGATATTCACTACCACAATTATTTCTTCACGTCATTCACAACGTTCAGAGAAAAAAAATTATACAGATAAATTTTAGAATAGAACAATAATATCATGCCGCCGGTCTGGGATACACTCAATTCCGTGAGTAGGACAAACAAACCTTATTTGCGATTGAAAGCAGTCCGAATATTTGAAACGCATCACGAACGAGAGAGCTGGAACGCATTCCATATACTGTTTCATGGTGAACAGGTAAATAATTTTATTAGTAATATCAAATTTATAAATTTATTTTATAAATTTATTTTTATTAGTATTCCGAATAATTTATTTTTTTTGTGAAAAAATATTTTAATTAATATTTATAAATTTATTTTGTAGGGTGCATTTATTAAAGGCATAATACGTTCTACAAATATGGGAGCATTTCGAGGTGTACTGAACGAAGGCGAGGTGTATGCAATCAACAACTATGTCGTTGAATTTAATCATGGGAAGAAAGATATCATAACCAACATATGGAAACTTGTGCTTCACAAAAGAACTCGTGTTATCAAATATGGTGGAATTTTCCCTCAAAATGGTGATCTTTTCCCTCAATATTAGCAAAAAGCGTGAGATATTTATGATATTTTAGGGTTTGATAAGAATTCCAATTTACATTATGAATTTCATTGTTATTCCATGTCCTTCAAGGTTATTATTTGTAATATATTTATTGTTTTATTAATTTTATTATGTTTTATTGTCATTCCATGTCGTTGAATTATAAATTTTAGTGTTATTATATTTGTTATCGTGAAATGACGTCTCTCATTCATTTCGATTAATGATTTATATGTTCAAAAATGCAACTGACGATCCAAGTTATTTAAAGGACAGAGCTATATTAGCGCCTACTTTGGAGGTCGTTAAGTCTATCAATCAATACATGTCGGATATGAATTCTGCTGAAGGTCGTACATATTTGAGCTCTGACAATACGTCTAAGTCGGATTCCAGTAATGGCTTTTTGGTTGATCTCCACACACCCGAGTTCTTGAATAGCATTAAGTGTTCAGGAACGCCGAACCATGAGTTGCATTTGAAGATAGGAACTTCGGTCATGTTGTTGCGAAACATGGACCATTCTATGGGTCTGTGTAATGGCACATGTTTGGTTGTTACGAAGCTCTCTCCGCATGTTCTTGAATGTAGGATATTGACTGGAGATCACGCAGGTGAGAAGGTGTTGATTCCTCGGATGAACATAACTCCTTCTGATGTTAGGGTTCCGTTTAAGTTCCAACGGAGGCAATTTCCCCTTATGGTTTCCTATGTCATGACCATAAACAAGAGTTAGGATCAGTCTTTATCACATGTTGGACTGTTCTTGAAAAAACCAGTTTTTAGTCATGGCCAGTTATACGTCGCTGTTTCACGTGTTACTAATAGAAAGGGGTTGAAAATATTACTTTGTGGGGACGATGAGTTATCCAGTAATCAAACTAATAACATTGTATATAAGGAGGTTTTTAATAATGTATAACCTTTTTACCAATGACGATTTTATGTTTACTTTATGAATGTCATACGTATTATAATAACTTATTAATTAATGACCTTTTAATTTTTTAAATTTTTCCAAAACATGTACTAGCCCGTGCATCGCACGGGTTACATACTAGTAAATTAAATACCACAAGATTTTGTAAGACCTTTTTAAAATCTCACTTGAATACCCCAAGACTTTAAAAGTTTTAAAAATTCATAACAAATCTAAATTGAATACACCAGTATTTCTAATTGAATACACTCCAATTAGTCCCATTTTACGACCAATTCAATTTCAATCTTTAGAATAAATATGAAATGTAATCTTTAAAATTAATTTGTTACGCTTAAAAAGAGATTTAGATTGTATCTATTGCATAACAATATTAAAGAAAAAATTTTACGTTCAAATAAGATATTTATTTGTGAATAGAAACACTTGTAAATCAAATTTTCATACAAATTGCATTTCGTATTTATCTTTTCTATTATAGCATTATCAATTGTAGTCCAAAACAACTAATATGGACAATCGTGTGTAGATCATATTTATTTAAAGAAAATGTTTTTAATAACAATGAATTTGTGTAAATCAGATTTTATACAGAAAAAACAAAATACACAAATTAAATGAGATTCGTGTATATCTAAAGGATTCTTGTAACACAAAACTGTGTTACCAATAAAATAATGGTTTACCTTAAGAAAGAAAAGGATTTGACAAAATCAAGTACAAATTGAATCTGTTGTTTCATCGCAACTCCCTCCATGCAATTAATGTTTTTTTTTATTTAAAACGCGTGTGATAATTCTTTTTTTGTTATAGTCATTAATTATATTTGCAAAAAATTCTTACTAAAACTGACTTAAACTTAGGGGGGGTGTATTCAATTAAGACTTTTAGTGACTTTTGAAGACTTTCAAAGTTTTGGGGTATTCAATTAAAACTTTTTGAGACTCTCCAAAAGTTTACATGTATTCAATTAAAACTTTCCAAGAATCTCAATAAGTTACCTGTTATTCAAATTGGTAAGATTTTATGAGACTTTACAAAGGAAAAGGATTTTGGGAGACTTTTTTACCAAAATATAAAGAAATCGATGCTCGTGAAAATCTCACCAAAATTGTGAGATTGTTGGACGTGACTCTTCTTTCTCTGTCTTGAAGGTACTCTCATACTTTTTCTCTAGGGTATATAGAATCTCTCACACCGATATGAATGTTTTACCTTTTATATAATGTTTTTGTTTACCTCTA